GGCGATTATCATGCTTTTTCGTCCTGCAATCTCATTTTTCACTGGAAGTCGGTCATTAGGGGCGGAGTCTGGAGGCGGAGTCACTGGAAAAAAGGAGGAGCCACTGAACCTATATTGCGCTACAGCGCCCCTCCCATAGAATTTTTTGCCGCGAAACCGGTACAAGGTTGTTCGTCGCGGACCACTCTAACCTCCTGACGCCATATTTTCAACTTCGATACCTGATCGCGGACCGTGCCTTTAAATGAAGATAGTATACACAACGGCGGACTTATCTAGTGGAGTTCAGGGTACATTTCCACCTAAGCGTGAGCGCTACTCATAAACCTGTACGCAGAGGATTCACTTACACCTGGTGATGAGGCGGTGGCAGGTAATTTGGCGACTTCTCTACGAATCACGTCCGGTTCGATGTCCATTTCGCTCCGTGCGTAGATCGTAATATGCACCATTTTTAAGAACCGCCGGACAGCATCGATGTGAGACGTCGCCGATGCGACTCGGGCAGCCGGTACTCCTTCTCCCTGCTGAAACACGCATTTTGGAGAAGAAATGAATCTGACACGGTACGCAAACCACAGAAAAAGCACAAAAATCGTAAAATTTAACTCTCCATCCCTTTGCGACAATATTATGACTTACCCAGTGCACAAGAACAACCTTGGTCAAAGCGTTCTTTGACAGACGAACACCGATTACGCCGTACTGCAGCCTTCCCGAGTTGAAACTCGTAGCGAATTCTTCAATACCACCGTCTGAAAGAATTCCTTATTAGGCCTCTACAGCAAAATCCGACATCGTAAAAGAGGAAGGGCGAAGTTCATGGGGTGAGCAGTGCTGCTGAATGACCTGAAGCTCGGGATGATGGGATGAATGACCTGAAGCTAATCTATCACGGATCAAAACGTGCTTTTACCGCTCAACATCCTACGAGTATGTCCTACATATCCTACATGCGCAAGCTACTCTGAATTTTGGTTCAATTGGGCAAATATACGCTAGTTTGATCTGAAGGTGCTCGACAGCTATGCATTTCACCATTGTGGATCTGCACATGGCCGATTTGCAGGTTCAGTATAAATACCAGGGAAAGCTTCTCTGAGTCAGAACTTCGTTATCGTCACATCGTTATGTCGCACTTGGTTCGTCTTCATATCGGCGACGTCTGTAACTCAATCAACCAGACCAGCGCTCAAGGAATCCGGCAATATTTCCGTCAGCAAGACCAGATCGGGTGGATCGGCTCAAAAGAAGGCAGCATTGCAAGGTTACACCACCGCTACCGGATTAACCGGTCTGGATCAAAGCGATGCATTAATTCCATCAATATCGTTTTTAACCAATCTAAAATTATGAGAAATGTCTTTAAACCTCCTTCGTCGCCGACTTTCATGACATTGGATGTGCCTTCATAATCGAATATAGCCCTGAAAAAATTCTCTGGGATCTCAATTGGGCACTTGACTGCAGAGGAACGACAATCGGGGCCTACGTCCCATTGTCGTTCGTTTTTGAATTAATGACTCGATCGTATGCTGACTGTAGCGCCCCAGCGTGTTTCTGGAAATTCACCGTCATCGATGCCAACTTGGTTCAGACACCAGCCGGTTCTGAATCCACCAATTACTTCCACGAGGTGAATTTGAAGTGAATCTGCAGAACTATGAAACATGGACCACGTTGAAAAATCCTAGTGCATGACGTCATTATTCCTCGAGCGAACTATGAATAGCGAAAAAAATTACGACAGCTATTTTAAGAGGAGGATAGTATGCGGTACTGGCGAGAAACAAGGAGTTAGTATGCGGTACTGGCGAGAAGCAGTGATCAGGTCAAATACGACAGGAGTGTGCCATGCATTTGACTTCCATGCAGAACAATGAGGGTACTTTACGCATTTCGCCACTGAATTAGCGAATTCATTCATTCATTCATTGATATAGGCCAGAAAATGTGCCGCATAATCAGATCAATAAACGGAGTTGAGTAATGGGTTTAAGAAGCACAGACGAAGGAAAAGAGAGAAAAAGGATATCGGACACAAAAAAACGGATAAGGGACGTGTCAGACCAAGAGAATGGGGGCATATTCCCCTCGTCACAGCGCAGGTAGGTTGATTACCCCCTAGAATATTCGGACGGAAGCCTCCACCTCCACCATGTTCGGTCCTTGGTCCAGAACATAATGAGAGCACTGGAGTTAACTGACAAATTAACCTATCACAATTTGAGTTTATGTTCAAGTGTTTTCGCTCCCCTCCATCATCTCGTCCACCCCTGCCCCTTAGCGGGTAATCTCGCTGTTTTAATATATGAGATAATCCAGCGGATGCCTTATTCTCTATCCCTGGATCGTTTTAGGTGGAAGTGGTAGCACCGGAAAAGAACGGGAGACGTGCGATACTATCTAATCGAGCTATTCGAGGTCTCACTGCGCACGTCGTGCGCGGCGAGTCGTGCGGAAATGTCAGCGTTGCACCTAACCGTACGTGTTGAGATTTGCTTTTGTTCACAGCGTACTTTCCGGAGAAGCAATGGGATCAGTCTCGTACGCAAAGGCTGCGACGTCGCGGACCACGCCCACAACCGCGGCGAAAAACCGCCGTATAACCGGGAAGGTTATATCGGTGAGGGTTATACTTCGGAAAAAATTTCCACATCTCTCTGATGTACCCTGGTCTCGAAAAAATGAGCCAAAGCCGCTAAAATGAAAACCACATTGGCCTGATACTGCAGCAATCTCACGGTGATAAAAAAGCGTTTCCTACCCACGCGCTCTCTTCTTCAAGACAGCCGCAGTGTGGGAAATTCCTCAGTGAA